TGATTTGCGTCGGAAAAACCGACGGCGAGGAGAGGCGGCGTGGCGACTGCCCGAAGAAAGCGGGGGCCTACCGTCGTCCCGCCCGGGTGCGGCAGGTGTTGCTGCAGGAGGGTGCGTCGTGGGCGTTTTTCGGCAGAGCGGCACAGTGTGGAACGGAAGTTGTTCTTCAAACCACCGAAAAGTTCGGAAAAGGCCGCCTACGACCAGACTGTTCCGGTTTGGGTGACTACTGTTTCTGGCACAATGTTCATCGGCGAAAATTTCGGAGCAACAGTGGCAGCCGATTCTGCACTTCACGCGGCACAGTTCCCTCCGGCCAGAGGTACCTGTGTTTGCAGACAGCCCAGTACACCACGGAACAACGATTCGGCGCAGCGTTTAGACCCACGAATTTCGGGGGTTCTACCCGCGACAATAAACGGAGTTGCGACTAATGCGGGTCCGGCGAGAGAAACGGGTTCCGACTTCAGGAGGCGAGAAAACAACCTACAGCGACGACTTTTGCTGAGGCCGAGTCTCACGGCTAAGCGGCGGTAGCAGAAGGAGCTCCCTACCGGCCAAGTCTACCGACGTCTCACATACCTCACACCAGAAAAGCCTCGAAGGCAATTCGTAAGTCCTGTTGGCTACTGGATAAAAAGGTGGGGCCCTGTGTTTTAGCCCTGTGCTGGTTAGAAAGGCGTGGGTGGCGCTGGTTCGACGGCAGGGCGTTCAATAAAATCTTCAAGCGACATTGTTTCGGCCCCGACAAAACCGGACCATCGGCAACGTTTCCCCTGCCGAAAAAGTCGGGACTGAAGAAATTGTGGCAGCTGGCGGTGTTTCTCCTGGTTCAACGGTCTACCCAACGGCGGTGTAGCGGCGAAGATGGAGTTCCCGAAGCTGTGGAGTTTTAAGTGCGATAGGCACGGTGGGCAGCGAAGCGGCCGGGCGGGCGTTTGATACGATAAACTCACCCCGGCTACGATTGTGTTCGCGCCTTCATCGAACGCCAGAAAAATCGCGGGTCAACACGAAGAATGTCTCATCCGGCAAAAGCGGACGCTGGGTGAACGGCGGCATGCGAAATTGTCGGGGGGCGAAAGCAAACAAAGGAGGGAAAGTTGTGGGTGCCGCTTCAAGCTACTTGAGTGATAGGCTGAGCCCGTACACCACTCCACCGCGAATTTCGGAGTCTATTCGGTAGAACCCCGAAAGGGTTTGATATCGTTACATGGAGGCGCGGCGAGGGGTGTATTGCCAAGGATGCCTGTGATTTGCTAAGTAATTTTCGACAGGTACGAAGACGGGTGAACGTCGGAGTACCAGGGTTAAAGGCGGAAATGTCGGGGCTACAAGGCAGAAAATACTTCGAGGCTTGATCCCTCAACCACGATTTTCGGGTGCAACTTCGACGGTGGGAGACGGGTGAACGTCTGCTCGCCAGCTGTTTAAGCGTTTCTCGGTGTACTTTGGAGCAGTCTGGGGGAGTTTTGCTGCGAGATCTGCGGCGTTGATGCGCGCTAGGGTCCGTGAAAATCGGTCTCGGAAGACCCAGAAGTACTGGGTTCCACGCCAAAAAAGCACCTCCTGTTGATGGGTCGCTTGAGTGGTTAACCGCACGAAAAAAATGGTGACCGGGTGGGCGCGATAGAAACACCGGTTCTTTCCGGGGACAGCCTGCAGGCGACCAAGACTTTACGTGGTGTGGTTATTTCCGACATTTGCGGGTGGACCCAGCAGTTCCGAGAATGAGTCTTAACGGAGTCAGCGGGGTCGCTGACACTATCCGTGCCGGCGGCGGAGTTGCAGCGATGCTTGATTAAGCGCGCGAAGGCACTCGTCGTCAAATGTGTAGCCATACGAATCGGAAGCTGCTCGGGGGTACCAGCGACAACAATTAAGAAGTATTGCTACAGAAGGGGGGAGAGGCGACTGCTGTTTTTTTTCACTGCCCGGAAGTTTTCGGCGAGTCACGACAACATCGCCGAGGTAGCTGACGTCATCAACAGTTCATGTTCGAGTTTGAAAAAATATTTTCGATGGTGTCAGAACGTTATCTTATGCTCTAGCCTGTAGTGGGGTGCTCTATAGCGAGTACAACCCTTCTAGGGTTTGCTATTTGTATCCCCATTCTTGCTAGTGCAGCCCTCTTCTCTCTTCTAATTTTCACATGCTATCAGAGCAGGTCGATCCCCTTGGATCGATCCTGTGGGTGGGCTCACCACCTCGTTGCTTCCGCTGCAACTTCTACTGCTACTCTCTGTGCCGCACGCCTCGTGGCGTGCGGCAGTTTTTCTTCCCGCCGTGCGCCCCGAGGCGCCCGGCGGTTTTCTGCCCCCCGTGTGCCCCACGGCGCGCGGCGGTTCTCTGCCCGCTGTGCGCCCCGAGGCGCGCGGCGGGCTTCTGCCTCGTCGCTCGGCGCGTCGCCCTCGGGAGGCGCTGCGACGGGCGACGGGGACCCGCGCGTCGGCCACGTCGCCGCGCGCAGCGGGCCCGTCGCCGCGCGCAGCGGCCCCGTCGCCGCCCGCAGCGGCCCCGTCGCCGCCCGCAGCGACCCCGTCCCCGCCCGCATCGGCCGCCTCGTCGCCGCGCGCAGCGGCCCCGTCCCCACCCGCATCGGCCCCGCCTGCGGCCCCCTTTTCCCGTCGCCGGTCGAGGCGACCCTCGGGGGCCGGGGAGGGGGGCGAGCGCCGCCCCTTCTGCTGTCTGTTTTGGCGCCCTAGGAGGCCGCGCGTCGGTTCCCCCCCCCCCCCCCTCCCCCGTAACCTCCCTACCCGCCATCCCGCCCTGCCAGTGTTAGGGTTTGGGGAGTGGCGAGCAGGGGGTGGCGAGTATGGGGGTGGCACTTATGCATTCCTCCCTTTGCTCCTCCTCCTCCTTCGTCTCCCACTGTTGCAGCTGTCGCTGAGGGGGGGTGGATGTGTGGAAGAGTGGGGTTTGGGGTTTAAGGGGGGTGCGTGGGAGTGGAGCTAGCAGTGTAGCAGCGGGTGTGTGCCAGGGGGAGTGGGATAGTTTGGGGAAGCTGAATGGAGGTTGCCGTCGTGTCGCTAGCAGCACCTGTATTCCGGGGACTTCGTCCGGTAGCCAAGTCGTAGCCAGCTGTGCCAGCCGCCCGTGGGTCCGTTGCTCGTCTGCCGCTACTTTAGCCGCGGGGCCTATTACTCCTGTATTCCGGGGACTTCGTCCGGTAGCCGCTGTGCCAGTCTGCCGCATGTTGCCCGTGTGTCTGCAGCTTCATCCGTCGCCTCCTATCTCCTCTCCTCTCACTCTCTCTCCTCCTCCTCACTTGCCCGATGTGACTACCTCTAGCTTTGCTCATAATTGTGAACTTTAAACTATTGCTTCTTGAACTTGTGCTCAGAATGTGTGGTGACATTGTGATCCACCTTGAGCTTGTACTGCTTTGCTTGCTCTGCTGATTACACCCCACTTTGGCTATGGGGGTGTGTCAGAATGTTATCTTATGCTCTAGCCTGTAGTGGGGTGCTCTATAGCGAGTACAACCCTTCTAGGGTTTGCTATTTGTATCCCCATTCTTGCTAGTGCAGCCCTCTTCTCTCTTTTAATTTTCACAGATGGGACTGGGGGAAGAGCAGCATTTGTTTTTCGCCTCTGCCCGGGAGTTTTCGGCGAGTTACGACAAAGCAACCGGGGGCGCTGACGTCATTATGCACCTGAGTCTGAGTTTTCGACGAAATTTTACAGCCTACAGAAAGTCAGTTACGTGATCCGCCCTTCTCGCCAAGCGTCGCTGCTGGGCTACATCGACTTCGCAATTTTTGCGACGACTTCGACAACGAACTTCAACGATTCGGGGTCACGACACAACTAATATTGGACCGGTTTCGGAGTCTTCTACTAGGGATAGGCGGCAAATTTTGATTCTGGGTTGCAGCTACTGACAGTTGGAGATTCTGAGCAGCCGAGAAATTCGATTCTGCCACAGCAACAAGACAACACGACAGCATTTCGGCTCGCGGCTGCTGACAACTGGAGATACTGCAGCAGGAGTTCTTGGGGTGGCATGGCAGTCCATTTTCGAAAGGGGGGGAGAAAGAGCACTTGGCAAATTTCCGACAGCTTCGTCAGACCCTGACAGCACGATGAACGGTCGTTATCAATCTCACCGACACCGACGGATTTCTACTCATCGACCTCTGACAGCAAGTCAGACCCCGCCCTGCATCGCGCTCATCTTCACCGTCTGAATCGAAACCACTACATATCATTCAATCACGTATTCAGTTTGGCACTTCAATCTCGATCGTCAGCTGGGAAATTCGACGGCTGACATTCCAACTCTATTTTCGTCCGGTCAACCAATCAACCTCGCGTCAACTCGATGGTCAACGCTATTTGCACTGTCCGATCAGCTTCGACCGAGATCCGCAGTTTTCATGCCACTGCAAGACTCGACTATAGATACGGGGGCCTTATCTAGAAGGTGGGAGAGTGTAATGAATATGCAATTCATTACTGTAGAGGCTGCTCCAGGCGAGGACAGCCCGAGCACTTCGCGTCAGGATGGCTCGACCTACGCTTTCGCACCGAGCCAATTCCAAGTCGCCCCGCACCAATCGCGACATTCCCGAGCCACGCACACCTAGAGGTTCTCGCCTAGCTAGTTTTCGCCCTATAGATGCTCGCTTTCTTCATTGTGTGATGATTCAGTAATTCTGTAATCACGTCTTCTTTATAAAGTCTTCCGCGCACTCTGTCTAGTAAAACTCATAACACCCCCCCCCCACCCCCCGAAATTCGACAGTGTCGGATTCGTTTTTGCTCTTACGAATCAGTCTGGTAACACAGGACCACTCTGATGTATCAGCCCTATCTGAAGGCGAGGCTTTTGGAAAAAGAGTTCAACTCCAAACATCTGGAAAAAAAGGTAAGGATTCAATACCCAACCTTATAGTAAGGCTCATAAGGGCGAATCACCCTCCTAACCAGAGGCCTGGAAGGATAGAAATAAGGAAAATCTGCCGTGCATGGCATGGCATGGGATGAGCCATGGTCTCTCAACCCATGACCCAGGGCACCTGCCAGAGAGTGCACATGAGCAGCGGGCGGCCATGCCATGTGAGCTGCACTGCGCCCTCTGTGGCCAGCATGCCCAGCCCCGGGGGGGTGCTGCGGATGGTGCCATACGCCTCCTCCAGCACGTCTGCCGGCACCGCCAGCGGCACAAACCCCGCGTGCCGAATGCGCTGCGCCCACTCCACCAGGCTCTCCGGGCGCACGGAGCGCTGCATGCCCTCGGTGGCCACCATGTTCACGATGTTGTACCCGAAGAAGGCCCGCTCAAATGCCAGGATGTGGTCGCGGCGAGTGGGCGCTTCGATTTGCTGCTGAGGTTGCTGGTGAAGCGTGCCTAGCCAGGGCGCTTGGTTGGAGGTAGGGCATGCCGCAGAGAGGTGCTCGTGGCACTCAAAGAGTGCGGCGTGGTAGTCAAGGCAGTTGCGCAGGCGCGAGAGGAAGAAGGGGCCGTTGGCCGATAAGTCAAACTCCATGAAGGTGAAAATGTCCGGAGCGAGGGAGGCCACCCACTGGCGGGACGGAGCGGCAACACACAACACAACGAGAATCCAAACAAGGGAAGGAGAGTGGGGGGAGGGAGGGAGGAGGGTGGGGAGATGCAGCTGGCTGTTTGTAAGGGTGACGGGCCTGCTGAAGGAGCGATGTAGAACACGGGTGATGCGAAGCGGAAAAGCTAATGACGGGGAGAAGGGTAAGAGACAGGGCGGAAAGCGATGACTGCTATGCAGCGCCGCACATAGTCCTGCCACCATCGAGACGGGGCCAACCTCCACTAATCTACAGGTTTTGAACCATAGAAAGAGGTGGTCACCTGAAGTTCTAGCAAAGCACTACGCCTATGGAGCAGGTGGGTTGCTAGGGTAGAAAGAGTGAACAAACGATAGCGGGAAGCAGGCAGCAGCAACACACCTTGAGAAGGGTATCTCTAGGGCTGCTACGCATGACAGAGCTGTCGTGGAAATACAGCAGCTCCAAACAGCAGCACACTGCCACCACCTCCTCCTCCTCCTCTTCCTCCTCCTCGCAACCCTCTCCCCTCCACTCATCCGCACCCATGTCCTGCACCCCTCCACCCATCCCCCTCCTCGTCCCTCCGCCACCCCAACCCCCTGTGCCCGCCCATCTGCGCCGGCCCTCCACCTGGGAGAGGCTATCAGCGAGGTTGTCCTTGTGGATCGTCACCACGCGGTGCTCAAACCTCTCTATGCCCACCGCAGCCGCCTCTGCCGTGAGCTGTGCAGTGAGCATCCTCCCCAGCTCCTCGTGCTTCTGCTGCTCACAGTCCGCCACCCAGCACTGCTGCTCGCCCCCCACCTCCTCCACCTGCACGTCTCCCACTCCCCTGCCCATGCTCCCAACAGAACCATTCACTCCGCACGCCGCTGCTTCCCCTGCCCCTGCTCCTGCCCCTGCTCCTGCCCCTGCTCCTGCCCCTGCCGCTGCACGCCCTCCTGTGCACACCTGTGCGTGGGGGGTGGAAGCTCGGCCGACACGGAAGCAGTTATCAACGGTTGTGATGCGCACGCAGCGAGGGGGGCCGCCAGGCAGGCAGGCAAGGCGGCGAAGCAGCAGCGACCACTGGCCGCCCAGGTACACTCCAAAATCGACTATGTGCAGCGCCCCCCTCCGCATGCCTTCCCTTTGGCTCTTCGCTCCTGCTTCACACGCTGCTCGCCCCTCTCCTGCTCCTCCTGCTCCTCCTGCTGCTGCTGTTGCTTCCCCAGAGCAAGAGACCTCACCAGAGCCGTCGCTGCAGTGGCTGGTGCTGCTGGTGCTGGTGCCAGCCGCAGCAGAATGCATGGTGAAGGAGGAACGCAAGGGGGTGTTGTGAGGAGCGAACGGATCAAAAGCAGGAGAGCAAGCGATCGTGGTGACGGCAGTGGGAGGGGAGCGGCGAGCGGAGCGGGAGAGCGTGTGCAGGATGGCGGAATAGGCGGTGGTGTAGAGAAAGGTGATGAAGGGCGTGGTGGTGAAATACACATGACGCGACTGCATCATGTCCTGAGACGCAACGGGGAGAGCAGGGAGACGCGGAGATGGGGAGATGATGAGGTGGGTGGGACACGGGACATGGGGTTGGTGATGGGTGATGTGACAACAGAGTGGAAGGCTGTTGGCAGAGGAGAAGCGGGGGAGAGGAGGGCGAGGGGATGAGAATAGGAGGCGGAAGGGATGGGAGATAACAACAACGGTTTGTTGAGAAGGAGGCACTTCCCCTATACCTCACCAGCACATCACAAACCCCTCTGCTTTCACCCCCACTGCAGCACAATCATTTCCGCTGCCCAGCCTGATAATAACTGCCACAGCCACCACGTGTGCAAGTGCGGCGAAGCGAACCTAGCACGCCACATGCACAGCCTCTGTACGCCCCACACGCTACCGAACCTCGCAGCACCCCACACACACCACAGCACCCCACACACACCACAGCACCCAGGTACATCCCAGTAAGGCGCCCACACTCGGGCACTTGCCACTTGCCGCTTGCTGCTTTGCCGCTTGGAGCTTTGCCGCTTGGAGCTTTGCCGCTTGGAGCTTTGCCGCTTGGAGCTTCCCCGGCAGGCTCGTGCGTGCGGGGGAGTAGAGTACCTGGGAGGTGAAGGCGGCGTTGAAGAGGCGGAGGGCGCCGGTGCCGTGCAGGCGGGTGGTGAGCGCGTCCAGGAAGCAGTGCGCCACTCGCTGCCCCGCCCGCCCCTCCGCACTCGCTGCTGCTGCCACGCGCGCCCGCAGCCCTGCCACCCGGTCCTGCCACAGGGAGGGGGGCGCACGGGCGTGGGTGGGGGAGGGGGTGTGGGGCGTGAGAGGGATCTGAAACTGAAATGTGGTTGAGATAATTGGGGAAGATGGGTTGTGGATGGGGAAAGGGCGGGAGGACGGGTAGGGAGTTGGGCTGGCGTGGAGAGAGGAAAGGGCCGGGCCGGGGCTGGGAAAACAGGATACAATAGAAAGAAGACCGGCGCGAGACACGAAGACATGTATTGAGAAAGGGGAAGGAGGGCGGCATGGATGAATTGGAGTGGTGAGAGAACGAAGCGAGAGAAGGAGGGGGGGAGAGAGAGAGGGGGGGGGGGAGGGAGGGAGGGAGGGATGATTGGACGGAGGGAGGACGAAGAGAGGGAGGGAGGGAAGGAGGGAGGGAAGGAGGGAGGGAGGGAGGGAGGGAAGGAGGGAGGGAGGGAGGGAAGGAAGGAGGGAGGGAGGGAGGGAGGGAGGGAGGGAGGGAGGGAGGGAAGGAGGGAGGGAGGGAGGGAGGGAGGGAGGGAGGGAGGGAGGGAGGGAGGGAGGGAGGGAGGGAGGGAGGGAGGAGGGAGGGAGGAGGAGGGAGGGAGGGAGGGAGGGAGGGAGGGAGGGAGGGAGGGAGGGAGGGAGGGAGGGAGGGAGGGAAGGAGGGAGGGAGGGAGGGAGGGAGGGAGGGAGGGAGGGAGGGAGGGAGGGAGGGAGGGAGGGAGGGAGGGAGGGAGGGAGGTGGAAGTAGTGGAGGAGAGGTGAGCAAGGGGCACTGACCGTGTCAGCGGTGGCGATGGCTTCAGCGAGGGCGAGCACGAGCTGCCTCACCTCGTCCATGCCCACATCGCTCTTGCCCTTGTGCACGCGCGCACGCACAGGCCGCGGCACTGCCATGGTCATCGCCTCATGCGCAGGCCCGTAAAACGGCATGGGCGTGGACGTGGGCATGGGCATGGGCATGGGCATGGGCATGGGCATGGGCATGGGCATGGGCAGGTGCATGGGCGAAGGCATGGGCGGGGATGCAAAACCACCCGCTAGTCTGGTGGTGGCAGCAGCACCGGGCAGCAAAGAGGGCAGCAGTGAGTGGTAAGCGACGGGATGAGAGACCGACGCAACTGGGAGCGCCTGCAAGGAAGCTCGTGTGTGCGGAACCGCGGCGAGAGAGGGCAGCTGCTGGGCGGCAAAAGGGTCATGCGGGGCAGCGAGCATGGCGGGGGCGAGGGCGAGAGCAGGCGCGCAGCGGGTGACGTGCTGTGCGAGCAGAAACGGATCCATTTCTTGTGACCGGCCGTCTGGACCCAAGCCTGCCAGGAACCACGCGTCGGGTAGGGACGGCGCCGCTGCTGCAGAACTAGTATTGGGCTTAGGAGGAAAGGCAGATGCCGCAGTAGGAGGAGCAGCAGTGTGTTGAGAGCTGAATGTTGCAGAGGTGTGCACCTGGCATGCTACCTGCTCTGCTGTGTGCCCCGAGGCCTCTTCCCGCGCCTGCACTGCCCGCCGCTTGCTGCCTGACTCCTCGCCATGCGCCTCCTGCACACCACCGCCCCCACCACGCCCATATGCGAGCCTTCCCTCATCACCGCCTGTGCCTCGCCCATGCAGGCCCAACGCGCTCTCTCGCCCTCCCTCCTCCAAGCCACGCTCCAGGCCATCTGGTAGACCAGCTTGTTCGTGCATCATCATCATCATGCCTCCTGCTAAATCATGCCGGGGCACCGTGCCTGCTGCCCTTGCATGCCCTGCAGCTGCAGCAGTAGCGTCATGCCCCGCCCTGCGCTTGGCCCTGGCCTTGGCGTTGCCGGCGTGGCTTATTTGGCTGATGAGAGCTGCCAGTCGCCCTGACAGATTGGGCAACTGCCGCACACGCGGGGTGCTGCCACTCACTGCCTGCTGCTGCTGGTGCTGCTGATTATTATTTCCCTTACTGCTATTACTACTATTAATATTCACATTATTACTAAATTGATTAATTTGCTGCTGCGGTGGCGGCAGTTTCTCGGGCTGGATCTGAAGCCTCTGTCGTTGCTGTGAGCCCAGCAGCTCGCCCGCCAGCTGTTCCCCACATACACCAGCAACAGCAGCACCAAGAAAATCATCATCAGCAGCAGCAGAAGCAGCAGCAGGATAGCCCTTGCCACTCGCACTATCCTCGCTCCGCTCCCTGCTTGTCGCCACGCTTCCCACACCACTTCCCTCCATGCGTGCCGCATTAAACAGATCTGAGCCTGTGAGCTCCACAGGCGACGCTGAACCCTCCACCTGCTGCGCATTGTCTCCCCCACCGCCCATTCCGCCCGCCTTGCTTCCGCCCATGCCCAATTCCTCCACCGCGTTGTCACTCCAGCCGGTCCCCACAAATGCCGGTTCGCCGTCGTTCCCTGGGTGCACACAGGGCACCTCATGCAACGCCTCGTTCCCTTCTGTCATCATCATAAACTGCTGCTGCTGCTGCGAAGCCCATGAGATAGAGGCGGGAGGTGCTACTAACAATTCTGAAAGCCAACATTCCCGCACTTCCGCCAAGCCCTGGCTACTGCTCATGGGCGCGCCTTGCAGCAGCGGATCATGACCGCGGGCAGCAGCAGCGGCGGACGGGCAAGGAGATGTGCGCGCATCGCCACCTCCGCACGCCGGATTCTCGAGCAGCAGGGTGCCGAGAAAAGCGTCGATGGGGTCGTCGGAACGACCGCCATTGAACCCCGCCACACACGCTGCAGCGTCGTCGTCGTGAATCACCTCCGTCGCACACGCTGCTTCCAACGATCTGTATGAATCCAACGCGTTTAACGACTCCCCATGCCGCGGCGACACAGGGTTCGCCAGTGCTTCTGCTGCCGTCATAGCATCACCGCCAGCCGAATCTGGAGCTGCGGCCAAAAAGCTAGCAGCACCGCTGGTGGAGGCCGAAATGGACGTGGTAGGATCGGCGGCGGAGGCGGCAGGCGAAGATGGCGCGGACGACAACTGTTGGTGCTGCTGCTGCTGCTGCTGATGCTGCTGCTGGTGGTGCTGGTGCTGGTGCAATAAGTTAGTATCGCGATGCTGTTGTAAATCGCGTGAATCGGTGCTGTCGATGGGAGTCCCGTCCGACTGCGAGCCGTCCGTGATGGCGTCCAGAAGGTTCAAGAACTCCGCTGCCACGTCACTCTCCGCGAATATATCAAGCGACGGATTCTCGTCGCGTAACGTCGCAGAGTCGTGCTGCTGGCGAGACTGATGATGAGCAAACGACGGGGACGGCGACTGATGCGACAATGGCGCAGCTAGGACCTGCGCGCCAAGCGGACATTGCTCCACCGGGAATTGGCTGCACCCCGCGCCAAATACGGGCGCGCGCTGAGCCCACGACGATGCCATTACACCCCGCGAATTTCCTGCGGCCTCTGTGCGACTGGTGAAACCGCCTTGCGAACTCCGCGACCTCCGCGCTGTTACAAATGCAGAACTTGACGTTAGCGCTTCCCAAACCGTGCGCGTGCACCGTCCGTTTTCCAGTTGGTGTCCCTAAAAACGGCCATTAAGACATGTTTTGTGACGTCAGTCCTTTCCTTATGTACCCTCTCACCATCTTCTTCCCCCAGCCCATCCGTGCTTGTTTGAAACAGATGCAACGGGGGAGATGGCGTGAAGCCGAAGGAAGTGAGGAACGACAAGGCGATGGGAGATGCGCGGAATGCGGGACTCGGGAGCTATTGAGGGAGGGATGCACAAGTGGATGGCTGTGTCCCTGACGCACCCGGATTCGGATTCGCCTGGCAGCATCGGCGATACTACCAGGTAATGTTTCTTTTTTTTTTCGGCTGGATCGTAACTGTAGCATAGCGAACACGTTGCCATGCGGAGAGTGTTCTTTTCCAATCTCCCAACTGTGATGTCAGTGGTTACCAAAGGTTCAAGCTGTTCTGGGGCTCTATGACTGCTGCCAGTTGTATTTTGAGGCCACAACATGCAATTACCCTATTTCACGATCCCCAGCCCCGCGCCTTTGGGATGAGATGGCAGCAACCGCGAAAGTGCGGCGGAGTGACAAGCTACAAGGCACGCGAAGGTACACCTGGTCCTCCTTATTCTTTCACCGCGATTAAATGGGTAGTAGGATCTTGGATTATATAATGCCACCATGTTGCATCTGAAGTGTGAACCTTCCATATAAGTCTGCAATAGACTCTTCATTTTCCATGTCCAGAGCATCCATCCCCCACAGATAACAGCCGATTCCAAAAATGGATATTCTTACAAACACCCTCCGCCTGCAAGCAGTTGACGTGCTATAATGCCCCAACCTAATCCATCGCCAACTAAGAAAATGCATAGCTCCGACACGACACCAGTGTCAATTTATCACCATCCCTACTTGGCCAACGAGCTGCAGACGGGTGTTACTATGCCCGAGGTAAAACACATCGGACACCTGAAACCCAAGGTCAAAACACATTATTGCAATAAATAATTAGAAACAAACAAACAGACGACCAAACAACAAGAAAAACAAAAGAGAGGAGGAAGGGGGGGGGGGGGGGGGGGGGGGGGGGGGGGGGGGGGGGGAGAGAGAAGGGAGAGGGGGACGTAATATGATTATTGCAGGCGGGAGAGAGCTGGACTGGCACCAATCAACTAATAAAATGTGGCAAACTGAACGGCCATCAATTGGTCTCTCTCAGCTCGTGCCAGAAAATGGAAGGGAAAGAAGAACTGCGCTGACCACTAGGCCAGAAACCCTGAGCAGCCACATGAAAACTTCCAGGTGACCTCTCAAGTGGGCAGAAATTTACCTGGGAGCAGCCGTAGAGGCAGAGGCGAGAGAGGTTGGTGCAGGAGTCAGCGAGCAGGCCAAGGGCGTGGTCAGACATGGAGCGACACCACGACACATCGAGAGCCTGCAGCGACTCGTGCGCGCAGCGCGCTAGCGCGACCAGCAACCTGTCCGATGCCTGTGCGATGGGGACAAAGGGGGGGGGGGAGGCGTTGTGCGATTAGAGAGAGCGAGCAGGGGTGTGGTGGGACTTGAGCAGCAGCAAGAGCAATCACGGGAGTCTGCGAGATCGGGGGAAGAGCTCTGACTGTGTTGATGTACACTCACCTCATACACAGCATTCACTGAAAGGGTGTGCAGCGCAGCGCCTGAGGACTGGACCAGAGAAGCGAGAGCCGAGTCACTGCGGAGAATGGGACGAGAGGAGGAGGGAGGATGGGAGGAGTGGGGAGGAAATTAAAATGGTAGGAAAAAGCGAGAGGGGATCAATCGGATGAGGAAATCTAGTGAAGCATCAGGGGGAGGAATTGGGGGAGGGAGGGGGGAGTGGGGGGGGGGAGGGAGGGAGGAGGCTTGAGGCGTCAAATCCAGGTGCTGACCTGAAGTTGGTTCGAGTGAGGTTGAGCGATCGCAGCTTGATTTGAGCGGAGCACAGGGAGTGGAGGGAGTCGTCCGAGAGCAGGGGCAGGTGTGAGAGGTCCAGAGCGGTTAATGACGGTGCGTGGACTGCTGCCGCGGCCACGGACTCGTCTGTTACTGCCCTGTGATGCAACGGTGAGAGAACGAGCAAAAGGAGTTGAAGGGGGTTTAGCCACAAGGGATCGGATGGGAAGCAATGGCAGGAAGGGATAAGCGGGAAGGAGAGGATCCATGGGGCATTGCAAGCGTTGCAATTCAATCTGGCATACTGGACTCAAGCGTAGCGTGGAGTGAATGCACAAGCAGCCCTGGCTGGCAGTGAGGCGCTCACTGAGCGTGCACCAGATACAGAATTTAACCACTGCCTTATCATCCTAATCGCAGTAAGGCAGAGAGAGAGAGAGAGAGAGAGAGAGAGAGAGAGAGAGAGAGAGAGAGAGAGAGAGAGAGAGAGAGAGAGAGAGAGAAGCCAGGGGAGGCTCACTACGGTTGCCTCCAAGCTCACAGCACATTACCGGCAGCGCTTCTCGTCACTAGACTACCAAAGCGACTTACTCGCAGTGTGCCAGAGAAAGCTCCCTCAGATGCCCCCCCACAGCGGGCAGCAGGTCAGCCAGCACGGCATCAGTCACCGCAGACACTCCCGACAGCGACAGGCAGGTCAGCCCCGTCAACGCCCTGAGGCCTGGCAGCAGCGCGTGAGCATTCAGCTGACTGCACCCGTCCAAGCGGAGAGATTTGAGTGAGGAGGCGAGGGAGGAGAGCAGGGTGGATACTGCTGGGGAGGAGAGGAGCGGGCAGTGGAGGAGCGAGAGGTGCGCGAGGGAGGGGGCGGCGAGGGCGAGCGGGGGGAGGGAGGTGTCGGAGAGGCGATAGCCGCCTTGCAGGGAGAGGGAGCGCAGCGCGGGGAGGGACGCTGGGGCGCGCAGGAGAGTGGAGGTGAGGCAGGCGTCGGAGAGACTACGACCACACATAGAGAGATCCACGCGCTGCCCGGTGGTGCGGGGATGGGGTGAGTGAGGGGGGAACAGGGGCGGGAGGGAAGGGCAAGAGGGGGAAGAGGGTAGTGGGCGAAAATGAAGGGAGGAAGGGAGGAGAAAGGGGGGTGGAAGCGCAGGGAAGTGGGAAAAGGCCGAAGGCGTGAGAAAAGGGTGATGTGGTATCACCCTAGACAGAGAAAATCGCTTGACGGCACTGCAGCTGCTGAGCACTCTTCAACCCAGTCTCACACAGACTTGGCAGCCATTCGGAGCAACGAGTTTGAACACGGAGCACACATCACTTCACATCTCTTCCACAAGTGCACATCCAGGCGCACAAGCACACCTCCAGCTTGGCAGGGTGGCAGGTGAGGAGAGCGCGGTGCAGGTCCGCCTCGCCCACCAGCGAGCAGTCTGCCACGGCCAGCTCCGTCGCCACGCCGCCCACCAGCAGCAGCAGCGCGGGGCCGTCCAGCCGCCTGTGCGCGCTCAGGCACGCACTCAGGTCGCGCCGCACGCCGTCCGGCACGCCTTCCAGTGATTCCAGCGCCTCTATGTGCGCTGATACCACGTCTAGACACAGGGAGTACAGGCTGCGGGGGCCTCTTCCCCCCCCTCCGTCCCCGCTTGTGTCGTCTCTTCCGCCTCCTCCCGTTTCTCTCTGCGATTTGGGAGTCCATGCTACAGCTACCCGAGCTGGAGCGGTGCTAACACCAGTACCTGTAGTTCCTGCCCCCCCGCCCCGGATTCCCCCTGCTTCGCTGCCTTGCGCAATGCTTTCTCCGCCCAATCGTTCCCCCGCGCTTTCCCCTGTGCGCGTCCCCCCGCCCCCTTGCGCCTGCCTGGCGGCGGCAGCAGCGGCTCTTCCCCGCACCAACTGCCTCGCTGTGGCGAACGGGCCCGGCCACTGCTCCGCCTCCCCCGCCCCACGCGCCTGCCCGCGCCCGCGTCCGCCTCGACCCCCTCCCTGCCCCGCGGCGGTGGCAGCCTCGGCGGAAGCGGAAGAGGGGGGAGGGCCGGCAACGGGAGAGGTTTCGCGCGCGCCAGTGCGGCGAGCGGAGGTCAGGCGGGAAGAATCATCGAAATGGGCGAAATGGGCGGCCCTCTGCCGTGCGATCGAAAGAAATCGACGGCGTGCCACGTCACCCGCATCCATGCTGGCTCCACCTCCGTCGACGGTGCCAGCCCGTCCAGAATCCGCGCCAGATGTAGGGCTATCGCCAGCCGTACGATAATCACCAATATTGACATCCGCAGAATCATCAGCCGTACGATCTACAAGCCCTCTAGGGATGCCTCCCTCGGCAAGCTCATCCGGCCGTTCATGGCCATCCGATCGGTCGAACTCATCGCCGTTTAAAGCGGTAAGAACCGGTGCATCCCTGGGAGTGCGCTCGGCGTCGCCCGTGTCGTCCGTTGGTTCGTGAAAGGAAGCTCTGGGTGGCGTCGCAGTCGCACGGCTGCCAGCGACTCCTCGTGACATGGATCTCGTTCGCACACGTCGTGAGTAGTCGTCGAGCGGCTGCTCTGAGGGTTTTCGCCGCGCCATGTTCCGACAGGCTAGTGTGAAGCGTCGTTGAACGTTCGAGAATCAGTTAATTCTTCAATAGGCTAACTTTCCTGTGCACGATTTGTAGAGATTCAGCTACTAGTCCCACGTAGACAACAGCGATTCACTGATTGCGAGGGAAATGAATCTCGCTCGAAGCCAAACACATGAAGTCACGAGCTAATCCAGCAGTGAAAGAGACGAAGGCGGAGGTGCTTGCGAGGCATGTGTGGTATGCGCTGTACCACTTAAAACCGCAATGCACCAGAGTAAATCATGATGTTTAAGCAGAAATGAATATAATAAATGGCGTGATGTTGAAGCTAGAAACAAACGCTATAACCATCCTACAAAGGGTATAGAGTGTGAGAATGAATCACAATTAGTAAAAGAAGAGCGCCTATCTTTCTCAGTTGTACATGATAGCAAATATTTCAAGTATCCCAGAAAAAATAAGAACAATAATGTACAAATGAAACCTATCCAGGCGCTGTCCTAGAAATCGAGGTTTGGCACATATTGTAAGATGCATTCTTTAGATCGAGGTTTGGTAGTCAAAATCTCATCACTCGTCACCACTCGTCGCCATACTGTCGCCATGGAAGACTTTCTCACGCCGCATCCCTCTCAAGCGCTCGCCTGGTCATCCGCCGTCTCGGCAGGCATCCATTGCGCCAACTCCGCAGTTCCCGGCAAAACCGCCCTCCTTTCAACACTCTTTGCGGGAGACTACGACCAACTCATCGTGTGCGCAGGGTAGTGAAATATCGGCGCGCAGGTGAGACGCCGGCGTGGGTTGCGCTAGCGGGAAGTACCGGTGGCCCAAAATTGAAGGGTAAAATGCCCTGATTGCCCTTACTATGGGCCGCTTTTCAGAGATTGCCCTGATTTTGTAAGTGCGTTTTTCGTACTCCCCTTTCTTCAAAAGTGTACGTTTGTTTTTTACCCTTCGAAAATCAGTGTTTCAAAGCATTCATCTGTCAGATTATTATAGCTGATACATGTTTGTAGGCTATAGTGGGGTAGCACATATGGGGTACAGCTTTCTAGGGTTGTATTTGTACCCAACACTGGCTTAGTCATTTCATTCCTGGTCATTTATTTCCACATGGTATAGAGCGAGTTCCCTGTGGGAACGTTGCCTAGGGCCCACCGAAGCGCGCCCCGAGGCGCGCACCTTTTTTTTTAGCGACCCCTCGAGTCGCCCTTTCCCTCGTGGCCCCGCCGTCCCTCAGACGCGGCCCCGCCACCCCTTCTGATCGCGGCCCCGCCACCCGATCGCGGCCCCGCCGCCACGTCGCGGCCCCGCCACCCTATCGCGGCCCCGCCGCCAGCTACGAAGCGGCCCCGCCACCTGCTCGACGCGGCCCTGCCGCCTGCTCTGACGCGGCCCTGCCGCCTACTCTAACGCGGCCCCGCCGCCCGCTACGACGCGGCCCAGCCGCCTGCTCTGACGCGGCCCTGCCGCCACCTCTTACGCGGCCCCGCCGCCGCTTCTGACGCGGCCCCGCTACCTGATCTGACGCGGCCCCGCCGCCACCTCTGACGCGGCCCCGCCGCCTGATCTGACACGGCCCCGCCGCCACCTCAGACGCGGCCCCGCCGCCTGCTCTGACGCGGCCCCGCCGCCCGCTACGACGCGGCCCACCCGCCGACTACGACGTGGCCCCGCCGCCCGCTACGCCGCCGGCCCCGCCGCCTACTCAGCCGCGGCTCCGCCGCCCTCTCTGCCGGCCCCGCCGCTCCACCAGCCGCGGCCCCGCCGTCCCCGCCTCTGCACCTGCCGGCCCTGCTACTTCGGCCCCGCCGCCCCTGGTCTCGCGGCCCCGCCACCCTACCTGCAGCAGCCGAGCCGCCCCCCCTGCAGCAGCCGAGCAGCAGTGCAGCCGAGCCGCCCTGCACCCGAGCCGCCCTACCGCCGAGCCACCCGGGAGCCGAGCCGCCCTGCACCCGAGCCGCCCTACCGCCGAGCCGCCCGGGAGCCGAGCCGCCCTGCACCAGAGCCGCCCTGCCGCCGAACCGCCCGGGAGCCGAGCCGCCCAGCAGCCGAGTCGCTGAGTCGCCGAGCCGCCCTTCTGCAGAGTTGCCCGGCCTGCCCTGCCTGGTGAGCACAGTCCCACTGTCACTGCGTGCTCTTCCCCTACTGCTTGCACTGCTTCACTGTCGTCGTCATGGCTACCCCTTAGTGTCCTAGCTTTTGACGCTGAGGGTCGAGCCATTGACTTTGAGGTCTGGGTAGACGACCTGCAGCTGTTCTTACAGTGCGACAGGGCAGACGGCCTCTCTCTCTTTGACCTTACCTCTGGCGCCTCTCCTGCTCCTGCTGCTGATGCTGATCCCACTATGCGCTCTCAGTGGGCCACCCGCGATGCTGCTGCACGTCTTGCTGTGCGTCGCCACCTCCCTACCTCTGAGCGCGCGCACTTTAGCCAGAACAAGAGTGCTCAGACCTTGTACGACGCTGTAGTTGCGCGCTACTCCTCCCCTGCCACTGCTGCACTGAGCCGTCTCATGCTTCCCTACCTCTTTCCTGACCTCTCTGCCTTTCCCACTGTCGCTGACCTCATTACGCACCTCCGCACTAGTGACACTCGCTACCGCGCCGCCCTTCCTGCTGAGTTCTGCGCTAAGAACCCCCCCCCCATGTACATCACTCTCTACTACGTAGTCGCACGCCTCCCTGACTCCCTTCGCGTAGTCAGGGACCACTTTCTCGCAGTCTGTCCCACCACCCTCACCGTCGACCTCCTCGAGAAGGCCCTCCTCGCAGCGGAGAAAAGCATAGTCGCTGTAGGAGCTTCTCGTGGTGACCCTCGCACCCCCATCTTTGAGGGGTGCTCTCCTTCCCCCGTGCTGCCCTCTATTGCCTCTACTGCTGCTGCCGACCTGCTTGGTCTTGAGTCGGTCGGCGCGGCGTCTGCCCCTAGTGGGAGACGTCGCTCTGGCAAGGGCAAGGGGGGCAAGGGCGCGGGTGGAGCTGGAGGGGGCGGTGGAGGTGGCGGCGGAGGCGGCGGAGGGAGTGGGGGTGGCGGCGGAAGTAGTGGCGGGGGTGGTGGTGGTGGTGGCAGCAGCGGCGGAGGCGGCGGTGGTGGTGGCAGCGGTGGTGGTGGTGGCAGCGGCGGAGGTGGAGGCGGCGGAGGAGGCAGCAGAGGAGGCCGTGGTGGTGGAGGGGGTGGAGCTGGTCGGGGTGGTACCCAGCAGCGGAGCGGCGGCGGTGGTGGCCAGCGCTCACAGCAGCAGCGGGAGCAGCGTTCGCGGGACATCCCTCCGCCTCAGCAGCTTCGTGAGTGGTACACTCAGCGTCAGAGGGGTGGGGGTACTGGTCCTTGCACCTACGTCCTTCGTTCCGGCGACCGCGCGGGTGAGCAGTGTGGGGGTGCCCACCCCACCCAGCGCTGCTTTGGCCGCCTGACGGACGCTTGGCGTCAGCAGTTCCCTGGGGCTAGTGAGATCCCTCGCTGGGATGAGCTTCTTAAGGCTGGTGTAGCGATCTTTGATCTTGATTTTGATGCTTTCCTTGCTGCTATGTATGCTGTGACTATTAGTGAGGAGACTGAGGGTTACCGGTGTTTCCAGCCCGACCCGGGCATTGGTACTGCTGCGCTAGGTGCTTGTGAGGCTGCTGCTCTAGGTGCCAGTGCGTCTGCGCTCTCAGGTACTGGTGAGACTGCGCTCTCAGGTACTGCGTCGCCCTCGTCCTCCCTTACTTTCACACTTGACTCTGGGGCTTCTCGCTCCTTCTTTCGAGACCGCACCACCCTTACGCCGCTTGGCCGGCCGGTTGCAGTCTCCCTGGCTGACCCCTCTAGGGGTCCTGTCCTCTCTCACTTCTCCACTGTCCTCCCGTGTCCGGCTGCCCCTTCGGGCACCCTGTCTGGTCTGTACCTTCCCTCGTTCTCTACAAACTTGGTGAGTGGCGCGTACCTGCAGGATGTGGGGGTTCACCAGTTCACTCCTGCGAGTCAGCGGGTGACCCACTGCACGGAGGCACGCACAGGCCGCCACTTGGCCACGTTCTCGCGTCGGCCGGGGTCGAGTCTCTACACCCTGACCGTTGAGTCTCCTCCTGTCCCTGCGTCTGGTCAGTTAGCTGCGTCAGGTCAGGTGCTTGCTGCTGCGTCCCGGTCAGGTCCTTAGTCTGCCCCCTGTTCTTGTCGCCTCCTGTCTCACGAGACTCTCCTGTGGCACCACCGTCTTGGCCACCCCTCCTTGCCCCGTCTTTGGAGCATGGCTTCCCGTGTCCTTGTCTCTGGTCTTCCCCAGTCTCTCCCTCCCCTTCCCTCCGGGCCAGGACCTTCCTGTGTCCCCTGTGTCGAGGGTCGCGTCCGGGCTGCTCCTCACTCCTCCCAGTTCCCCCCGACAGAGGCTCCTCTGTAGACGCTTCACATGGACGTGTGGGGCCCAGCCCCCGTCCGTGGGCAGGGTCACGAGCGCTACTTCCTGTTGGTGGTTCACGACTACTCGCGTTACACCACAGTCTTCCCCTCGCGCAGCAAGGGTGCTGTCACTGAGGTGCTGATCGACTGGATCCGCGAGGCTCGTCTCCAGCTCAGGAAGAGCTTCGGCTCGGACTTTCCTGTTCTGCGTCTGCACTCGGACAGAGGCGG